CTTTTGGGGGGGGGGAATTGAATGGTGACCTTGAATTTGACCTTGAAGTCGATTTTCAAGGTTATTTCAAGGTTAACTTAATTTTTTTTAATAGGAACCTCTATTTTTGACCCCAGATTCTGATAGTGCTTGAAATTCTGCGTTCAACCATATGAATTTTAATAGGGGTCAAATATCATTTCAATGTCATTTCAAGGTCAAAACGTCAAAATAACAGCATTTTTAAGGTTTTTTAAGGTAAAGTATATTTTTCAGCCATATGCATCATGCTAAGGGTCAAAGGTCATTTCACGGTCAAATAGTCGAAAAACTCCATTTTTTAAAGTTTTTTATTTAATTTTAGCTTCAGGTTGTGTGACATTTAAGATTTATCAAACTTTGTTTCCATCAGAGTGCTTGTTTATCGTGAGTCCTCTATTGAAATCAGCGATTTCAGCATTTAATTTACTGCAACTAACATTATTTCAGAAATTTTTAATTTAAGTTAAAATTTGCGCCCTCTGCATTTAATTTACTGTAACTAACATTATTTCAGAAATTTTAAATCTAAGTTAAAATTTTTTAATATCAGTTTTATTAAAGTACAGAAAAAAACGAAGTAAAATAGTGCTCCCTAGGACTAATATTATCATTATGGTTGATTATTCTGCTAATCACATTATTGATATGGTGATGGTTTTAGGCGAATGCCAGAACAATTACCGGGCAACAGCACGGTGGTACGCTGAACGATTTCCTTTAAGGCGTCATCCTAGTCATGTGACGTTACGTGCGTTAACTATTAGAGCTCGTGGTGGACACCTTAACCGTCAGTGCAGACGTTACGAATACGATGAAAATAATGCTCGCGTTTTGACAGTTTTAGCAGCTGTACATCTTGATCGTCAAATCAGCAGTCGCACAATTGAAAGGGAAATCGGTATTCCACGAAGTACTGCTTTAAGAATTCTTAGAAATTTAAGATATCATGCATATCACATAACTTTGGTTCAAGAATTAAGGCCAAACCATATTCAAATGCGAATTGAATTTTGTCACTGGGCTTTAGCAAGGATACAACAAGATCCTGACTTTTTCAGGTATGTGCTTTTTTCTGATGAGGCTAAATTTTACAGTGATGGACAACTTAATAGGCATAATTGCCACTACTGGTTAGATGAAAATCCGCACTGGTACAGAGCTGTAGATCATCAGAATAGATGGAGCCTTATGGTGTGGTGTGGCATAATAAATGGCTACTTAGTTGGACCTTATTTTTTCGAGGGTAATGTTAATAGAAACAATTATTTAGAATTGCTTCGAGATCGATTGCCAGGGCTGTTGAAAAATGTTGATTTAGCAACCAGAATAATAATGTGGTGGCAACAAGATGGTGCAGGACCTCACTTTGCACTAATTGTTCGTCAGTTTTTAAATAACCATTTTAATGCAAGATGGATCGGACGAGGAGGTTCAGTTAACTGGCCACCTCGCTCACCAGATTTAACTTCTCCTGATTTTTATTTATGGGGTTACATTAAAAATGCAGTATTTTCATAACAGCCCACAACTAGAGCAGACATGGAAAACCCTATTCGTCAAGCTTGTGAAGCGATTCCAAGAGAAACTTTATTAAGGACTGTGCCAAATTTTCATAGACGATTGAATTTCTGCCTTGAAGCTAATGGTGGTAATTTTGAACATTTACTTCGTGGTTAACAGTTATAAAGGTAACAAAAAGTGAGTGGCAAGGGGACTTACGCTAAACAAGCACCCCATCGTGAGTGGCAAGGGGACTCACGCTAAACAAGCACTCCATCGTGAGTGGCAAGGGGATTCACGCTAAACAAGCACTCCATCGTGAGTGGCAAGGGGACTCACGCTAAACAAGCACCCCATCGACTATTTGACCGTGAAATGATCTTTGACCCTTAGCATGACGCATATGACTGAAAAATATACTTTACCTTAAAAAACCTAAAATATGCTGTTATTTTGACGTTTTGACCTTGAAATGACATTTGACCCCTATTAAAATTCATATGGTTGAACGCAGAATTTTAAGCACTATCAGAATCTGTGGTCAAAAATAGGGGTTCCTATTAAAAAAAATGAAGTTGATCTTGAAATAACTTTGAAAATCGACTTCAAGGTCAAATTCAAGGTCACCATTCAATTTCCCCCCGAAAAATAGGAAAATTTTGTCCCGAAACTTTTTTTGATTTAGGTCATTCCCAGTGAGTTATTTGAGTGGTTAGATTAAAATGGGCCACCCTGTATACCATGTTCCATTTTAAATGATCTACTCAAACATCTTAGAAACATTACGTCAAATCGAAAAATGTTTCAAATAAAAGTTACAGAGTGAAGTAGGGGCCGTCAAATTGAAGTACTAGTTTTTGAATCCAGGGCTCTCCTCTATATAAGCCCAGTCAAGCATAAGTCAAGTTTTTTAAATCGAATTTTTTTTTTTATTACGGATGTGAATTATACGCTTCAAAATAAAAACATTTTATGTTAAGTCATTTTTTGCTAAGCCCCTTTCAAAACGCTCAAAATGTTCAAAGTTATGATAATTTAGTTTATCACACAATCTTGGTAGTAAGACAAGAAAACTTCACAAAACAGAAAGTACCTTATGATTGAGAAATAACAATTAAACAGATGAACTGGATATTAGGACCTGGGAATCCATAAGACGATTTTGATCAGTGTTTGAGTCCAAGACCTATTTCAAGTTCAACCAAACCTCGATCAATTTTTTGAAATAGAAACTATCATTCCTTGTCCTTGTTGAGCCCTTTTACAGTTCTATTTACTATCAGAAATTCGCATCAAAATGGTTAAATTTTTCCTGCGGAGGAAAATATTTATTTTTATGTCTATAATAGTTTTCGAATGTGTTAATTTCAAATTTGAGGTCGTTGTTATAAAATTCAAAATGATGAATTAAAAATACTGCAGCTAATGATTAAAAACGTAAATATATCTAATATTTTAGGATTTACCATTTTCATGTCCGCCATTTTGAATCCGATATTTTGAATTTTGCAGTGATCTCAAATTTGAAATCAGCATACTAAAAAAACCTGTGAAAACTGAGTTCCACTTTGATATATGTAATATTTTTGGATTTATTATTTCCATATCCGCAGCAACGATTTCAAATTTGAAGTAAGCATTCCCAAAATATCAATCTTACTTAATCTGTTTAATTAGTTATTGTATTTTTACTCTTACTTATAGGCTTTAAATTATCCCCTTTTCTTATAGTGTTTAGATAAGTGCAACTTTGCAAAAAGTAATATTTCCCATTAGTATGATAAACTAATGAAAAGTATAGCCTTATAGCTTTAACCCTTTGAGTGCTATGGACGCATATGTGCGTACAGTAATACAAAAGTAATATTTTACCATTAGTACCCATATATGCGTCCATAGCACTCAAAGGGTTAAAGCTATAAGGCTATACTTTCCAGTAGTTTATCATACTAATGGTAAATATTACTTTTTGCAAAGTTGCGCTTATCTAAACATTATAAGAAAAGGGGATAATTTAAAGCCTACAAATAAGAGTAAAAATACAATATCTAATTAAGCAGATTAAGTAAGGTTGATATTTTGGGAATGCTTATTTCACACTAATGGTTCATTTAGTTCCGCCTGGCGCGCGGTTCGACTGTCGCCGGCGTGTAGTTTGCGTCGTGCGTAAAATTAATTAAAATAATTAATATTCGAAAATAACTTTCTTGTATTATTCAAGTAGTTGCGCCTTGAGTATTCAATTGACAGAGTTTACATTAGCGAAAAAAGTATTCCGTACTCAGCGATCGAAACCGCTAAGCGCGTGCCGTCCACGCGGATTGCTTACGCCGGGAGTATTCAGCACTCAAAAGGTTAATTTCTACTCTGGTTCATGTTAATATGATGTCTGGTTTTTAAGTTATAAAGGAAAATGTTATCCTGAGTCTGACTCTGAGTTAACCGTTAGGGCACGGCTCGCTTATCTCGAGTCCGGCTTGGATTTAATCGCAAGGCGGTTAAGTGAAGCTTTGGCTTTTTGAAAAGTTGGATCAACATTTGGGTTCGAGGCTTATTTTGTACAAAAGCATAAAACTTTAGACACCGGCACTAACGTTACCGAATATATATCGCAGGGAAGTTGTATTGTCGGATTTAATACATCATGTAGCTCTACAAAGGTCTGATGTTGTTTTTTAGGTTATAATCGTTCTATTGATCAGGTGTTCGAAAGTCGCACTATTAATTTGTTGGCAGTATTGAATATGGTATTGAAAATATCTAATAATTAGATGTACGACGGTAAATTGAAAAATTTCTGACCTGACTAAAAGAGAGGTAAGGTTCAGTGAAATTGCAATACTTGTCCAATAGATAGCACTGAAAAAAAATGCAAAGAGCTAAGTTTGATGTCATTCTAGCGATTAATTTGTTTCTGAGAGCTTTTTGTGTGACAGTTTGTCAACAATAGAGAAATTGGAATATCGCGCCGTAATAAAATTCCTTCATTTGAAAGGGA